AAGAAAAAGGCTTGAATGAAGAGAAGTTGTATGTGATCAAAATGAAAATGTAATTCTCAATCTCTCTCATTACAATGTAGAAGACAACTATATATAGCTAAGACAAGTAGTTTAGATCCTAACTAACTCTTCTTAACTAACTCTAACTAACTCCTAAAGTTAGTTAGCAAACAGAATTTACATAGTGTTGTCATTATTACAGTTATTATTTGTATTATCATTTACAGCCCCCCTCAAGCTGGAATGAATATCAATCATTCCAAGCTTGGATTGTAAAGTATTGAAAGGACCGGGTTGAAGAGACTTGGTGAAAATATCGGCAACCTGCTCCTTAGAAGTGACAGGCATGAGATGAACAACTCCAGCTAGAACTTTCTCACGTACAACATGACAATCGATCTCTATATGCTTCGTGCGTTCATGAAACACAGGATTGGCAGCTATATGCATGGCAGATTTGTTATCACAGTAAAGAATGATAGGTACTGAAGGAGTGATGTGAAAATCACGAAGAACAGTGAGAAGCCAAACCCCTTCACAAGTAGCTTGAGCAAGAGCACGATACTCAGCTTCAGATGAAGATCTGGAAATGATAGGCTGCTTCTTGCTCTTCCAGCTAATGAGTGAAGTGCCAAGAAAATAACAAAAACCAGAAGTGGATCTTCGTGTATCAGGGCAAGCACCCCAATCTGAATCTGAAAAACCTTTGAGACATAAAGAGGCATTAGATTGAAAAATGAGTCCTTGGCCTGGATTGTTTTTGAGATACTTCAAAACATGTAGACCAGCTAACATATGTTTATCTGTTGGAGCAGCAAGAAATTGACTTAGTTTGCTAACAGCATAGGAAATTTCAGGTCTAGTATGTGTGAGATACAATAAACGACCAATAAGCCTTCTGTAGGGAGTAGGATCAGAGAGAGGTGTGCCATATGATTTGTGAAGTTGAAGATGAGGTTGCATAGGGGTGGAACAAGGTTTGACACCAAGAAGACCAGCATCAGAAATCAAATCAAGGGTGTATTTTCTTTGACACAAAGAAATACCATGAGAGCTACGAGCCACTTCAAAGCCGAGGAAGTATTTAAGAACTCCCAAGTCTTTGATACTGAATTTAGCATCCAAACAAGTTTTGATTTGTAAAATTTCATGAGAATCAGTGCCTCCAACTACTAAATCATCAACATAAACCAGAATCATAGTGAAACCTTGAGGAGAAGTCTTAGTGAAAAGAGAATAATCTGCTTTGGATTGGACATAACCTGATGCAATAAGGGTGTCAGTGAGTTTTGTGTTCCATTGTCTGCTAGCCTGCTTCAGCCCATAAAGAGATCTTTGTAATTTGCAAACAAGATTTGGAGTAGACAAAATGAGACCAGGTGGAGGCTTCATGTAAACTTCCTCATTAAGATCACCATGGAGGAAGGCTGTGTTAACATCAAGCTGGAACAAGGGCCAATTGTGAACAGCAGCAATAGCTAAACAAACTCTAACAGTGGTCATTTTAACAACTGGACTGAAAGTGTCAGTATAATCCAATCCTTCAGTTTGAGTGAACCCCTTTGCAACAAGTCGTGCCTTGTACCTCTCAATAGTACCATCAGCATGCATTTTTACTTTAAAAACCCACCTACAACCAATGGCTTTCTTGTTTGAAGGTAATGGCACAAGATCCCATGTTTTAGTTTTAACCAGAGCCTGCAATTCAGTATTGATAGCAGTTCTCCAATTCTCATCACAAATAGCATACTCATAAGATGTAGGTTCAGGATTGGCAGACAAATTTAACATGTAATGTTTATGAGAAGAGGAAAAAGAATCATAGGATATAGAAGATGAAAGGGGATACTTACAGGTGGATGAAGATGAGGCCATAGCTGAGTCAGGATGATGAAGCATATTACAATGATAATCTTTTAGATAGTTAGGGGTATGAACTTGTCTATGTGATCTTCTTAATGGTATGGGATCACAGGTAATAGAGGGAAGATGATTGGTTTCATTGGTAGTGGAATCTGTAGAGGGAGAAGGAATCTCAGTATGACTATTGTCAACTGAAGTATGCTCAGTATGACCATTGTCAACTGAATGATTAAACATAGGATTGGGAACTGAATGAGGCAGAAACATATCATCAAATAAAGCATCCATGTGTGTAGTAGTATGTGAAGACAAAGGAGGATTGTGTTTATATGGAAAATGAGATTCAAAGAAAGTAACATCTCTGGAAATAAACAGTTCCTTATTATGCAGATCAAACAAAAGATGTCCTTTCACACCAGATTTATGACCTAGATTAATGCACTTTCTAGATCTGGAATCTAATTTCTTTCTATTGGATTTTAGAGTGGCTGCATAGCACAAAGAACCAAAAACTTTCAGGTTGGTCATGTCAGGTAAAGTGTTGTACAGAATTTGGTATGGTGATTTGTGTTTTAAGAAAAGTGTGGGAAGTCTATTGATGATATGGACAGCATAACTCACTGCATGAGCCCAAAATAATGGAGGCAAATGAGCCTGAAATAAAAGAGCTCTAGTGATGCCCAAGATATGTTGATGTTTTCTTTCAACAATACCATTTTGTTGAGGGGTAGCCACACAAGATGTTTGGTGAATGATACCTAATTGATTGTAAAAATCAGGCATCAAAAACTCATTGCCATTATCTGATCTAATGCACTTGACATGACAATTGAATTGAGTTTTAACCAATGCCACAAAAGACTTAACATGAGAAGTGGTTTCAGATTTTAGTCTCATAAGATACAGCCATGTAAATCTACTCTTATCATCAACTATAGTTAAAAAATACCTATAGCCCATCATGGATGGTATGGCCAATGGACCCCAAATATCCATATGTAATGTGTCAAAGGTGGATAGAGAAACATTGGAACTAGGAGAAAAAGGCAGTCTTTTCTGTTTGGCATAGAAACATACATCACAAGGCAATTTGATATTGACAGGTTTAATGAAAGGAAATTCTTTATTGAGTTCAATCAATTTGGAATTAGAAGCATGTCCTAATCTGATATGCCATAGGCTACATTCAGAATCATGACTATTATTAACAGAAGAATTAATACAATGTATGGGAGGAGTTTTAGGTAATGTGACTGAAGGAGAGGTTAAGAGATATAATCCACCATGTAACTCAGCTATGCCAATCATCTTCAGAGAAAACTTGTCCTGTATAGTACATGAAGTATCATTAAAAACAAGTTGACAATTGAGTAACTTGGTTAATTTGGTGACAGAAATGAGATTAAAAGCAAAATTAGGTAAATAAAGAACATCAGTGATGTAAAAATTGCTGTCAAACTGAATAGTGCCTGAAAAATTAGTGGTAACAAGACTGCCATTTGGAAGTTTGAGGGTAATGGGCTTAATTTGCTTAAGACACTGAAAATATTCACGAGTAAAACAAACATGATCAGTAGCACCTGTATCTAATATGAATGATGCAGCATGAAAGGAATTTGGAATAGTGCATATAGTACCTGATCCAAGATCAGTTTGAGATGTTAACTGGTTAATGGTATGAGATTGCAATTGTGATGAGCCTTGAAGTAAGGCTAGCAATGCTTGATGCTGCTCTGGTGTAAAAACCAAACCATGAGATGCTGGTGCACTTGCTTCAGATCCAGATGTGTTCTCAGGTCTAGCAGATGTAGTATTGTATTGATTGATGGTACCATCATGCTTCCAATGAGGAGGATAACCATGTTTTTTAAAACAAGTATCAATGGTGTGATTAGTCATGCCACAATGCGTGCAAACACGGTTGTTTCTGCCCCTGCCACCAGAAGATCTACCTCCTCTGGAGCTGCCTCTGCCACGCATATTGGAATATGATTTAGACTGAGTATCACGAGTAGTCTGATGCTGATCAGAAGATGGAGTGACCAAAATCTTGGACTCATCAATCGGAAGATTAGCTTGTCTCTCTTGTTGAACAAGCAAAGAATATACTTTGGAAATGCTAGGGAGAGGATCCATAAGCATTATTTGTGACCTAATAGCAGAGTACTGATCATTCAGCCCTTTCAAGAAACGAATTACTTGATCACTAGCTTTGTAAGTACGAATCTTGATAATGGCAAGACAAGTAATATCACATGCACATTCAGGAATAGGTCTAAAATTATCAAGTTCTTGCCATAAAATCTTCAGTTTTGTGAAATATGAAGAAACGGAAGTATCACCTTGTTTCAATGTGCAGATTTCTTCTTGGATATCAGAAATTCGAAAAACATCACCTTGATAGAAACGCTCCTTGAGCTCATTCCACATATCAGCAGCATTTTCCATCCAAAGAATACTTTGAGCAATTTCAACTTCTACGGCATTCTTGATCCAAGACATGATCATGGTGTTACATCTATCCCATGCTAAAGAATTTGGATCAAGATCAGAAGGTCGTGGTAACACACCATTGATGAAATGCAATTTGCTCTTAGAACGAAGAGCCATGGTCATAGAACGCGACCAAGAGTGATAATTGTTATTAGAAAGTAATGGTGTAACCAGAATCAAAGATGGATTTTCATTGGGATGCATGAAATAAGGGTTTAGGATATCATTTTGATAACCTTTATTGTTGTTTCTTGAAGCAGAATCACCATGATCACTGCTATTAGAGCTTAAAGATGACATGATGAGAAACAACAAAAAAGCAGAGGCTGCAGAGAAAGAAAAAAAAAGATCGAAAGAGGAAGATTGAGAAAGATCGCAGCGGAAAACAGAATCACATGCTCTTGATACCATGTGAACATACAACAATAAGCTGAAACTCCATAATCAAAGGAAAGAAAAAGGCTTGAATGAAGAGAAGTTGTATGTGATCAAAATGAAAATGTAATTCTCAATCTCTCTCATTACAATGTAGAAGACAACTATATATAGCTAAGACAAGTAGTTTAGATCCTAACTAACTCTTCTTAACTAACTCTAACTAACTCCTAAAGTTAGTTAGCAAACAGAATTTACATAGTGTTGTCATTATTACAGTTATTATTTGTATTATCATTTACACACTCCACCAACAGAAACATACCCGCTTCCGCCACTACAGACGACGCCATCTTTGCAAACTCGCACCGGACCACCACGCACAATCAGAAGCTGTAAAACAGGAAAATAACAAACTTAACATGTACACAATTTGTTTTTTTGTTTGTAGAGAACAAGATCGGGAAATACGCTCTCATCAGCCCTCCGTGAAGTCGACAACAAGCGCACCTACTCTTCCGTACAACCAGCACCACGATACAAACGCTACTGGCGAGTCAGCTGCAACCGCAAATCGTCGTGCGAATCTTACGGCACTGTTGCTATTAAGGTTGGATTTTCCCTTTTCATTTTGAGTAGTGGTTTTTGTTATTGTGTTTATGATTGTTGGGGAGAGTTTTGTTTGGTTGGAGATTGGAAAGGAGATAGATGGTGATATTCTTGAGAATGAATAGAACCATGAGAGAGAAAGAGGAAGAAGCCGTGGGTTTTGGTTTTTCCTTTATTTTCTCTACTATATCAAATTCTACTTGCTATTATTATTGTTTTATTATTTCTTTTCTTTTCTTTCAATTAAGTACTGCCACGTGCCATGAATTTATTGGAGACAAAACAAACAAAAAACTTGTGGCTATGTAATGTATTTATCCCTTTCCATTCTCCAGCGTTAATTTCCTTGCTGTTCTAATTGCCATGTTAATTTCCTTACTATTCTAAATGCGATGTTTAACTTTTTTCATATATTATCACTTATAGTTAGAAAATGGGGGTTTAGAAATAACATTGAGCTTGGGCTTATAGACTGGACTCTATTCTTTTACTAACTAACACCTAATTTTTATATACACTCTCTTGTATCTCAAAATTTTCCCTCCTATTCCACTCAAGATAAGTTCATTAAGATCCTTAGCTGCTCAAGATTGACCAAGAATTGATCAGATAAAGTCTCCTCATAAGCATTGGATTTCCAAAAAGGGTTGCACAAGTTTGGAATAACTGATACTAGATCTAAGTGAGAACAATTCGAAGGAACGTATAAGGAGGCTTTTTATGAAGTTTTCGAGTTGATGAAGTTAGAATGCATGAGGAGACCTTTTATGGAGACTTCAATTTGATAGTTTTCGAACAGGAAGAAGGCTTGTTTGAAGTCTTCGATTTGATGATTCTTGAATGTGAATGAGGCTTGTTTGAAGCCTTCGATTTGATGGACTTAGAATGTGTGAGGAGTCTTTTGGGAAGCCTTCGAGTGATGGACTTCGAATGTATGAGAAGGCTTTTGGGAAGTTTTCGATTGATGGACTTCGAACAGGTGAGGAGGCTTCTATAAAGCCTTCGATTGATAAAGAGCTGAAGCAGCATTCGACCAGTTAAAAAGGAAGAGTTGATGCTTCGATTGGTTTGAATTGAAAGAAGGGCAATCGAATAAAGTAACGCTTGAAGGGTTGATCGAAGAATCCATGATGCCGAGTATAACACCCCTTCTAAAATACCCCGAATAATATTAATTATATCAATGATTAAAGACATATTCCATCAGAGTTAACACGGAACAAGGGATGTCACAATTATGAAATAAATAAAACTTCCAATAAAACAGTAGTCATGCTACACGGAGGGTCATTATTCAAATAATTCAATCAAATTAAGACCATGTCTTACACAGCGGAAAAATACCATAACCAAAACGGAATAAACCAAAACATAATTATTCCCAATGAAATTCAAGAAACAATTGAATAATAACTAATTCCTCAACTAAACGTTCCCCAGTGTTACAACCTATCAGAGCACGACACTGACACGCAGACTTAAAGTAACATAGCTCTAGAGCCATCCTCACCAAATTCTGAGCTGCTAACTTTAATCTGAAATTGTAAAAGTAAGGGTGAGATTTCTCATAATTAACATGCATTATACGCTTCTCAATCAACATTATATCACAAGCGTATTATTTCACCCATTTTAGCATAAATTCAGATTCAACACGCAGTTCCAATCATACAAGTCATTATGCACAAATCAATAATCAACCAAAGAATTTTAATACTGGAAGACATCCTAACATATTACAATTCCATGCAAACACAAATGCAGACACAATGCATGTGGTACCAACACGTGACCAAGTCACCCAACACTGATCCATCATCAACCGGATACAGCAACCATCGATTCGTCCATAAACACCCGGACACGAATCCAACCTAACCACCCATCATCACTCGGGTATCGATTAACGGCAATACAAGTCAAATTCCACACAATGGGAATTAACTTCACCAAAACAATGCATATGCACGCACATCACTAGCATGCAACATCAAATCAGTCTATGAAATACATCAATTTATCATAACTGAACCAAAACCAAAAACATGATATCTCAATGATCCTGCACACCATCATTAGAAACATAAACATGCCTTTCATTCACACAATACTAATACATCCATCCATCACAGGTTCACTGCTACATACACACCCATGTACGTTAGCCAATAATCACTTATTCCGGGATTTGACTCATTTTCAAAATAATTTCAGGTTTTAGGAAATCTTTTCATTTTATAAAATAGAGCATTAAATTTAAGAAATAACGTCCAAAACGGCACTCAAAACGGACTTACGGTTTGAAAGTTATGAATTTTCAAAGTTTAATATTTTTCAAAAAGTTACAGCAGAACCCGGTTCCTACATATGCAGGAACCGGTTCCTGCGAAGTTCAAAAATCACGCTTCTGGAAAATGTATGGGAACCCGGTTCCTACCTATACAGGAATCGGTTCCTACGTGCATTTTTTTGCCAGTTTTTATAAATTCACACAGTGGAACCCGATTCCTCCCCACTGGGAACCGGTTCCCACGACCTGCAGAGTCAAATTCTGCACTTTTGACAGCATTTATTCATTCTAAACCAATTCCAAACATACCCATACGAATTGCAACATGAGAAACACCAAAACACATCTATTTTGCACCATTATAACATCAAACAACATTATTTCATCATTCTTTTTTATTATCTGACACCCTAATGGTTTTCAACCTACAATTCGACGCAATAGGGACAATTCTACGGAACCCTAGAATTCCAAATCGGGATTCCCTAACATACTATGATCCATACTATTGAATATCTAAACTGATAATACGAATTAACTAATCGAAATCACCCCTTACCTTGCGGGTTCTTCGAATTTTGACGCTTCCGGTTTTCTCCTTCTTTTTCCTCTTCTCAAATGCACGTATGATGAATATTCCAAAATAACTCTCTTTCTCTTCTTTTTCCTTTTAATACTCCTTTTATTATTCCAATAAAATAATTAAATTAGTAATTAGTAAGAGTAGAGTATTTTATCCCTCACACCCTCTAATCACTCTTCACACCACCAATACTTCTTTTCTTTAATTAATTAAATTAATTCCAATAATCCAAAAATACCAATAATTAAATTTCCAATTAAATTAATAATTAAAAATTATAATTATTTAATAATCGGATTATTTGGGGTGTCACAACTCTCCCCAACTAAAAGAGTTTTCGTCCTCGAAAACATACCTTAGACGAACAGTTCGGGATACGAGTCCTTCATCTGACTCTCCAGCTCCCAAGTGACATTTCCATCTGCTGGTCCTCCCCAAGCCACTCTTACCAACGCGATCTCCTTGCCTCACAACTGTTTCAACTTCCGATCCTCAATTCTCGCAGGTACCGCTTCCACAGTCAAATTCTCTCGTACCTGTATATCGTCTACCCAAATCTCATGAGACGGATCAGCAATGTACTTCCTTAGCTGAGATACATGAAAAACATCATGCAAATTTGCAAGTGACGGCGACAAAGCAATCTGATAAGCAACTTTCCTAACTCTCTTGGTAATCTGAAACGGACCAATAAAATGTGGAGTCAACTTCTTTGACTTCAAAGCTCGACCAATACCAGTCATCGGAGTAACTCGCATAAAAACATGTTCTCCTTCGCTAAACTCAAGATCTTTCCTCCTCTTATCGTGATAACTTTTCTGATGACTCTGAGAAGTCCTCATCTTCTCCTGAATCATCTTAATCTTTTCCGAAGTCTGTTGGACAATTTCCGGTCCAATCACATCACTCTCTCCAGATTCATACCAACACAACAGTGTCCGACACCTCCTACCATACAATGCCTCAAACGGAGCCATACCAATGCTCGAATGAAAACTATTGTTGTCGGTAAACTTAATCAATGGTAGATAACTATCCCAAGCTCCACCTTTCTCCAACACACAAGCTCTTAACAAATCTTCCAATGACTGAATCGTTCTCTCCGTCTGACCATCTGTCTGTGGATGATAAGCGGAACTCAAACGCAACTTAGTACCCAAAGCTTCTTGCAATCCCGTCCAGAATTTAGATGTAAACTTCGGATCTCGATCCGAAACAATACTAGAAGGAATACCGTGCAAACTCACAATCTTCTCAACATACAATTCTGCCAACCTTTCCATTGGATAATCCATTCTTATCGGAATAAAGTGAGTAGATTTCGTCAACCAATCAACAATAACCCAGATAGAATCACAATTCTTCGATGTCCTTGGCAAACCAGACACAAAATCCATAGAGATTCCATCCCATTTCCATTCCGGAATAAACAACGGTTCCATCAATCCTGACGGTTTCTGATGCTCAATCTTCGACTTCTGACAAACCAAACAAGCATACACAAACTCAGCAATTTCCTTTTTCATTCCCGACCACCAAAACAACTTCTTCAAATCATGGTACATTTTAGTAGCACCAGGATGAATACTCAATCCACTACGATGTCCTTCTTCCAAAATACTCTTCCTAATATCTGCAACATCCGGAACACACACCATATTACCAAATCTCATAACACCATTCTCATCAGTCCGGAACTCGCCTCCTTGGCCTTGGTTGATCAATGTCAATTTATCAACTAACCCAACATCGGACTTCTGTCCATTCCAAATTTCTTCCAGAATACCACTAGTCAGTTTCAACATACCCAATTTCACACTATTCGGAGTAGTTTCACATACCAAACTTAAATCTCCGAACTGCTCAACCAAATCTAACTCACGGACCATTAACATCGACATATGCAAGGACTTCCTACTCAAGGCATCCGCAACAACGTTTGCCTTACCAGGATGGTAATTCAAACCGAAATCATAATCCTTTAGAAATTCTAACCATCTCCTCTGCCTCATATTCAACTCTTTCTGATCAAAGAGATACCTCAGACTTTTGTGATCACTGAACACCTCAAATCGAGAACCATATAAATAATGCCTCCACAACTTCAAAACAAACACAACAACTGCCAACTCCAAATCATGAGTCGGATAATT